GAAACGAGAAGCGGATTTTCCGCGAATTATATATAAATTCTGTCATCGAGATAGCCGTGATTGCTCGAACAGTATCATCGACTGGCAATTAGCTTCTCTCGCAGTTCGAACACAATCGCGGCTAATGAATCGTTTCGGGCGGCTATGAAACGATTTTTATGGCTCTTCGAAATCGACGGTGATGCAAGGATGCGGGTCTTGCGGAATGGCTCATTTTCCTCCGGCAGTTTAATGGCCATTAAAAGCGCCGAGCTAAACGACTTCACATTTTATTGGACGCTGGCGAAGTATGTGGGGTAAGGATTGTCTTCGTGTCGTTTTCCGAATGATTTATTCATGCTGGAGTTATTCGAGATCGTTCGCGGTGATACAGATGCAATTCTCGGATCAACGAGAAGGAAAATGCGCGAAAAATTGTGTCGTTCGTCTCGCGATTGTTTCTTGCGTCTAAGATCGCCCATCGAGAGCTACTCGGGATCCAGGGGCTGCTTTACACCCAGAAATTGCAACAGCACTATCGCGATCGACCCGCCGACCGATGCAACCACGCAACCGCGAATGAAACCTGTCACACCGAAGACTTCGGATGATATACGATTCACATTTGCATACTTTCTTAATTCTTTCGCACCATGACCGTCACGGAGTTTTGAGGCCAAAAGCAGATTATGATCGTTCAATTTATGAAATTTCGTAGGCGTTCCATTTCCGAGATAAACAGAACCAAGTAGTGAAGTAAAAAACCAAGTCGAGTTTTCGAAGCCAAGTAAAGTTAAGTAGAACCAAGCAAAGTTTTTTAATTAGGCCAAAATGTCTAGAAAGATATCGTACTGTACTTTGATTGTTTAATGTAAGTAAATTCAATCTTTATGCACGCGATACAAAAGAAATTTTATTTATTTATTTATTCTATCCTATATAGAAGAGTAAATAAAGTTAAGTAGAACCAAGTAAAGCTTTTCAATTAGGCTGAAATGTCTAGAAAGATATCTTACTGTATTTTGATTGCTTAACATAAGTAAATTCAATCTTTTTGCACGCGATATAATATAATTTAATTTACTTATTTATTCTGTCCTATATACAAAGTCTCTAATCTACAGCATTTTCTGCAATTCGATGAGAAGCGAGGAAACTGTGATTTTCGGATCTTGATAAAGGTAGAACGTTGAAGTGTTCCGCCGAAGCGGAAGCACGGAGACGCGGTAGGATGACGCAGGTCGAACGCAGCATAAGGCATCGAGTAAGAAAAACGGGCGTATTACGGCCGATACGAATCGTGGCAATGGTTAAGAGGCATTATCCGGGATCGTAGGCGATCGGTTCAAAAATCGAGTCCCGGGAAGATCACAGATATGGAGCGGAATGTTGTCGCGGTATTGCGATCGGCATCTGTCGTTGGACGTTCAGCGGGATCGTAGCGGTGGTGCATTCCGTTCTAAGTGGCGGGTCAAAGAAATAAAGCCAGGATCAAGCCATGAAGTTTCGCGCGACGAAGTAAGTCAGTCCATCGGCTTTTCCTGAAACCGCTGTGCCACCGTGCGCCGCGTTGTCGCCGTTATCGTCGCGAGTCAACGGGAAACCTTGTCGAATCGTACTCGCGATTCGAAACTGACATCAGTTCAGTGATTGGACCCGTGAATTCCGAACCGGCGCGAGTACACTTTTTAGCATCGCGCGATGCTAAATCGGTGCTAGTCGGATTTATCGAACAGAACATTATTTAAAAAATGAGTCAACAAATGTAACATATCGCCGAAATAATCCTATCAAGGGATCATTTTCCAAATTAATAACGAAAGGAAGATAAATTAGAGAGACGCACATTTTCTTCGTTGGCGAACTCGCGCCGCTGTTTCGCAACAGATGGCTCCGATTTGCCGCAGAGAAAACGAGCGAAACATTTTTAACAATTTCGTAGGAACCGATCCTTTGTTCAAACTGTTACCAGCGTGGTCTGCTAACACTTTTCGCATGCAGATTTCTCGCTCTAGTTTTCCCCCTGCCGTCGGTTGGATCAAGTGCGAAGAAATCGCGACTGAAGAAATCATTGGACAATGGAATTTGCCGTCCCATTACCGTGACGATCGTCGTCAGGGTAATACCGGTTCTACCACCCCTGTGAAAGTCAACCGAAGCATGCACTTAAGGAGTTTTCCCAAGGAAAGTCATCGATATCTCTGGAAAGAAGAGTCGGAGCGTTTAGAAAGCGTTGTGTTCCAACAATGTTCCATTTTGCTCGGACATGGCCAATCGTGACGCGACAAAGAATGGTCACCGCGCCGAAATAATCGTTCGACGCGAGCATACGTCCGATCCGACGTGTCACACATGCTTCCTGTTGCCGCGTACCGGTCGTCGGATTACGCGGTGCATCGGTCGCGCAGCGGATGATAATTCAGCGGATAATGCGACGGATAACGCGGCGGACTCGCGAGGAAACGATGCTGAAGAATCCGCGGTATCGGCGGATCGTGCGTAACGCGGTCGACAGCCCTATAAGACCAAGATGAAAGGGCAGTGAGGAAGAGACTGGGGACTTCGTTTATCGTCCGGTCTGATCGCCGGTGGATCGAAAGGGAGTGCGCGCCCGACGCGACACGACGTTACGCGACGTGTGGAAAACGAGCACGGGTTAAATAAAACGGGAATTAAAAGCTCGGCGAACGCGATGCCGGAACGAAGCAGCCGCGAGCTGAAGCGGCGTCCACGATCCATGATCCTGGATCAACCGTGAAGATCTCCGACGGAGGAAACGCGTGTCCACGGGAAATTGTCAAAGGCCGTTTCGATCGCCGCGCCGCGCCGGCAACCGAATTGATTCGTCTCGATTGCTTTCAACGGACCAATCAGGAGAATCGTGTAACAGGATCCTGGTCTCCGGGGAGCTGCAGCGAAAATTGGATGGCTTTTTTTTTCTAATTTCGGTGGAACGTTGTCTTCGAACCGAGCCGCGCTCGAAGTGGGAGACCCGTTTCATCGAGTCGAAGGAGCCCATCGATATCCATTCCGTTTTACGGGAATCGCTGAGGACTTTATAGTCACGCAAACTATTCAAGGATGTCACAGAGTCATCGGGTTTAGGAAAAAGTTCAGGTGCTCAACAGGTGTCCTCCGCAGCTGCGTAACTGTGAATCCGTTTGCGGAATTTGAGGCTGTTAAGAGAGCTGATAATTTTACGGTTCTCTCATTATGCCGCGAATATTTCAATTTTTCAGTCCCCGATCCACGGGAATCTACCGTTCCGAGTAACGCCGTATCGTTAAAAATTTCGTTCGATTTTCGATCGCGCTCTCGGGAACGGACCACTGTCGCGGAGTTTCGATTTCTGGACCACGGGCCCGCGTTAACGGTTAAACAGAGGAGGATTGCGCGGGATTCTTTGCGAGGCCGGCAAAAAGGGTCCCGAACGGTGTTTTTCGCCGGCAGGGCGAGAAAAAATGGCTGATTGAATTCTGTCCATTGATCGGAGATCGGTCACCCGCGCGATTCAAGATCGAGCATCGCAAAAACCGCTCGATTGTGCGTGCGGACGGCTATCGAATACTGTTCAGCCACGGTCCGGGGAAACTGAATCGCTCGCGAAACAAATACATACAACGACTTTCTTGGAGAGATCCACCGGAGCAGCGTGCTAAGCGACGCCTTTGTCGACGAGAATGTCCCTCGGTGGACCCGTTTTTGCCGTTAGGGTTGCTCGCGTATAAGTCGCGGCCGCCGGGCGATTAAGTTTCAATTGACACGTTCACTTTCCTTACGCATCTGTCCTCGAGCTTGCGCCGAATAATCGGGTTTAAACGCTGCACAAAGAACCCACCTCGACTCAATCGTCCGGACAATTATATCGCGAAAGGATAAAATCAATCAGTGCAGGCGATCCGAGCTCGAACCGTTCATTAAAGAGATTCGCCGAAGTTAATTCGTCCGCCCGGCGCAATCGAGGCTGCGCGAAATTCTTCGAAAGACAGTTTTCTAATTACCGGTGGCAACTGCGCGAGAGTCACTGCTAACTAAGTAGGCCCGACTTATATGGACTTTTCACATAACGCTCGCTAAGGAGTCTTAGAGACCGCACCATTTCCTTCGATGATTCATTAAGCCAGCAGGATATGCGACTGCGAGCGGCAATATCGTCACGCTTCGAGGATAAATAATCTCTTTGCGAGACGAAGTCGCTGCGTTCGTTTCGAAAGCGAAGAATTCTGCGATCAACCCTTTGCTCGACGATTTCTATCGGAAGTGTATATACATCGATTAACACATTTTTGTCTTTAATCGTTTTCCTAATACAACGAGAGAATTTTCGTTTCTCATTCGACTTTGTCCAACTTTAGATTCTAGACTTTTATAACAGAGCAATCAAAATATTCTTTCGATTTAGAAAACATTAAAAACATTCTCATTTAGCAGATTACGTAGGAAATTTTCATCACGATTTTGGCCCGTTGTTGTAGTTCTAATACAGAAAGACTGAGACTTTCGAACCCAATGATTTTAGAAACGATAGAGTCCCAGGGGCGTCGGAGAGTACAAAAGAGGTGGAAGATTGATAGCCTCGAAGAGCGAAGCTGATGAACCGAAGAAAAGAGAGAGAGAGACTCGTTGCTCAAGATTAAGGAATTTTAGAGCGAACAAGGCGAGACAGAGACAGAATAAAGTCTTGGGATTCGAGAGTAGAAAAGCGTCGGAGGGGAAATTGATAGATCGCGCTCGCTCGAGGAAAAGTCTTGAAGAGTGAAGACGATGGAAGAGTGAACGTTGTGCCATGAGATGGTGAACCTGAAGCTAAGAATTAAAGAAATAAAGAAAGAAAGAAAAAGAAAGAAAGATCGGGCGAACCAAACCGAACGAAAGTGTGTCGTCTGTCCTGGCACGTATTTCCTTTTCTATGTTCAGAGGGGGGCATAGTTGTTCGGGCTCGAACGCTCAAGAACTTGAGGAGAGCTCGCCGCGCGTAGCCCCGTAGGTGGGGGCAGCGACATAAGTACGAGACGGCCTTAAGAAAAGCCTTCATTCTGATAGCAGATCGCGATTCACGGAGTCGGTGAACTCGTAAAACGCGGCCGTGTGTTCAGTAGCCGAATCGCGATAGGAGGCCCGGCGACGCGCGTCGCACTCATCATCGAGTAACTATCATTTTCCATTCGGACCGGATGAACGGTACACCGGGGACGCGTTAATCGTCCGGTGGATATATACTTCGGCTGCGATCGGAACCGGGGCCTCGAATCCTCCTTTGTAAACCGGCAGAGACGACCGCCTCCGTGGATCCTGGGCAACGTGACGACCGACCAGGTGGGTACACGGCCAGTGCGAACAAACTTTGCGCTTTGTAATCGCTCCGCGGCCGCGAAATCGCGAACGCTCCAAGGACTCTCGCCTCGCTGTTTGCTCATTTACGTAAGCCGAAGGCCGGCCATTTGTTAGCAGGACATTGTTGGCTCTTTTGTTGAATCGCGGGGGTGTGAAACTTCGTGAGAAACTTCGCGCGAACATGTTACCACGATGCCTGTGGCAATTTTATTTCACGAGCCGCGACCGTCAACCTTTGCGCGGGCTAAGTCTGTCGTTTCTACAGCTGGAGCAGCGCGTTCGCAGCCCCGTCGTAGCGCCGAACAATGCCGTAACTGATAATTAAGGGAATTCAAACTGGAAAGTGAAAATTCGACGAAATTTGGTATGTCGCGAAATCGAAATCGTTTCTAAATCCCGTCGAAAAATATTGTCAACCATACATGATCGATACCACTGCCACCATACGTGGCAGTCGACGCGTTGAATCGTGCTTGAACCGAGAAAATTATTCGGTGATCTATCAGTCTGCGATCACGTTTTCTGCTCCGTCGATGACATTCAGATTTCGATGATTTCGGCGACGATTAAAGCTATCCGCATAATGTAACTCCCTCGCATAATCCACATGAGAATTTCTTGCAGAGCCCAGGGGTCTAACAGGACCCAGGGTCAACAGTCCCCCATAAGCGGCGCCTCGAAATCATCGTGTTCGCCGATCACGAAAGCTCGGAACAAATCACGCTCGTTAAGCCATTATTCCCGTGATAAACAACGAACCCGCGGCAGCCAGGTTCCCACCTAATTTTCAATTATCCGGTAGGCAGCCGGCATGCAGCACGCTTTGTAATTTTGTGTCGTAAACAATGTAAGCGACGTCTGGTCCCGCGACTCGGTTATTTCCAACACTCTCGATATTAATCGAAAATCCTGGAGGCAACACCGTACAATTAGAAGCGATGCCGTTTTTACCACGATCGTTATCTGTTCCGTTAACGTTAACGTTTCCGCGATTACCCATCGGAAGCTAATGCACGCGTTCTCTCGCACAACTCAATCTACATTCCGCCGCCTGACAGTCCTGTTCCACGTCGAGATATCTCCCCGTTGTTTCTCGTCGGACAGACGCTATCTGGAAACACCGATTCCCGGAGAACACAACGGCGACTTCCTCGTTGCGACGATAGACCAGTCAGCCGTCCGCGGCAAAAAGTACCTGAAGAATGATCGGGGGAAACGGAAAACTTTCGATCGTCCATCGAAAATTCGCCACTGGTTCCTGGATCATTATGTGTCTATAATTTTTGTAGACTTTGCTCGATCTGGAAACGCGATCTCCATAAGCAGACTGAATCCTGAAGCAAATTTTATTTCTCATAAAATCCCATTCCTGGCAACGGTAACAATGAACGAAGAATGTTCGCACGTTTTGCGTTAATAATCTTCGTATTACATAAATCCACGCAATGACGTCCGCGATAAAAAAAAGTTCAGGGACAATCCGCACGATTCCAGTTACTTTTCTAATTACCGTCGTTTTTGCGAAATCGTTCTGAACAACCGAACCGAAAGAATTATCATAATCCGATTGTATCAAGACCACGATTGTTGCGGGATGGGAAGACGTTGAATCGCGAAGAGTAATTAAACGACGGATAAGGATCGTTTCCTGGATGGCGTACTTAGAGGGCCCGTTTTTTTTTCGTGTCGACCGTACACATTTTTGCCCTGGAAACCCAGTGATCTTTATTCCCCGTAGATTCTATCTGATTCCGTGGAATTTCGTGGAACGTTGTCGGTGCTCGCCGCGATAACAGCTCGAGTAACAGTTCTAAAATCGTGAGCGGTCCGGTAACGCTGGTTCGACGCGTTACACGTTTTACACGGCCGCGGTGTCCCGTGCGTTTCGTGGAATATCGGGCCGAGGAATGTACATGTTGCATGCCGTGTCTCTGCTACCGGTGAAATTACTCTCGACGTCCCGGGTTGCCGTTGGTAAGCTAGTATTTCGAGTTTTATTCGATGTTGAACGCGCGGCGCCGTGTCGTTCGGGTATTTAACTACTGGAACGGCGAATCTTTACGCCGATTCCGGTTCTCGAGGGGTAATTTATCGAGCTGTGAATCGAACGACTACTCACTACCGTCATAAACGTTGCCGTGAAACGAAGAAGCATCAATTTATATTCAATTGCTCGAGATTGCTGTTATGTGATTGCGAGGAAAATATAGACATTTTCGAATATATTTGTAATACATTAATTCGAATTAACGCACGCATCGGTGTAAAATTATCAAGATAACAAGATGAAATTAAGATAACCAAGGGATACGCCGTTACCAGCGTTTTCACGCAGTAGAAGCGCTCTGCCTTTGAACGGACACGCCTCCCTGGATTTATAACCAGTTGAAGAAAATTATCAAAAATTCTACGCGCAACGCGAGGCTCCGTATAACGCGAGATCATCTTAATTGCGAGAGTTTTACCGAAAAGTGCTTTTCGAAGCACCGTGTTTGCTATGCGGAACGAATTTATCAAGAAATAAATCGCTGGTTCGGTACGATTATACCGACAAACGGTGAAAAGCCTTCTTTATTCAATCTTCCTGTATCAAAGCGAAACATCTGGAGTGTTTCATTTTTATTGGTACGAACTTGCTTTTTAATGGAGAACAATCCGAAGACGAACACAAACGAAGGTAACAATATACAGTAATGTCTTTCTAATTGACGCTCAGTTTGTTCACAGAAATGGACAATTCGGAAGAGGAGATACGATTATTCGAGCCTTGCGGTTCGTTTCCATAGTTATGAATTGTCAAGGACTATGAAAACGAGCTGCAAGGCTCGAGTAATCGTATCTCCTTTTCCCAAAATGGCCATATTTGTGCACGATCTGAGCGTCAGTTAGGGAGACATTACTGTACTCTTCTATTTCAAACCTTCATGAAAAATTATAGAAACTTCGCCCTTCTTCTCTCATTACAAAATCGACGCGGTCCTTCGCTGCAGCGCTTATTTCGATCACCTTTAACATCATCGGCGCGTTAATTGCACAGAGTATCGCTAACGAGCTGACAGTTAACGCGTGAAAATCGGCTATAAATAACTAAATAAATAGTATGAGGAAAGACTAGGGGGAGGCTATAGAAACACGGAGACGCCTAACTCGGTGGAACGGCACCGATGAACCGCCTTAAGAATGCGTTTTCGTGGCCGATCGCAGGGCCGATGCAACGAGCATCGCAGCGCATCTGTAGCGGCCCGTTTTGCGCTACTTGCGCGTCACGGAAAGTGCCTCTCGACTCTAGCATTAAGGACGCTGTTGTCTAAAGTTATCCAGGGAGTTGGGGAAACCAGTTCGACGCGGCTCGAAACGCGCGTTGAATCGACGGGTGTCCCGCGGAGAGGACGATAATGGGACGGGATTGCGGTCGCACGGATCTAGGAAGCCTGGACGTAATTAACAACACGAAATTACCGGGCCGCACTTAGTACGCGGCCGTGGAACGATTGTATCGTGGCGCGGTGGCCACGATCGATTACGTCGGCAAAAACCGTGCAAGATCGCTGAACGGTCGCTGAACGATCGGTGAACACGGCCTCCCGGTTCGCTGGGAGACGAGCTCGTCTCTCTCGCTCCCTCCCGAGCAGAAGCCGAGCCGCCGATAAACAAACCGACGAAAATATCCAAGCCGTGTAATTTTCGCAATCACGTGGCACCGGGATACGTCGCGTTCTTCTATCTGGAATGGTCCCGCAAATATCGAGTTCCCCGGGCCCCGTTTCCATGCGCTTCTACGCGCACCTATGCGCACCTATGCGCTTTTAATGAAGCGGTAGCCGGCCGTCCAACCATCCGTATGCAAATCGCCGATCCCGGGATGCTCCGAGCTGCGGAAACATTAAAATCAGCCTCTCGTTTTACGACGTTTTTCTTCTCGCGGGAGCCGATGCACACCTAACTGGACTGCGCCGTCCAGCTTCATCGGATATCGACGATCCGGACGCGGCGTGGTGCGCGCGGTTGCGCAACCCGCGCCAGATTTTTGACTTTCTCCTTCGATNTATGAATTGTCAAGGACTATGAAAACGAGCTGCAAGGCTCGAGTAATCGTATCTCCTTTTCCCAAAATGGCCATATTTGTGCACGATCTGAGCGTCAGTTAGGGAGACATTACTGTACTCTTCTATTTCAAACCTTCATGAAAAATTATAGAAACTTCGCCCTTCTTCTCTCATTACAAAATCGACGCGGTCCTTCGCTGCAGCGCTTATTTCGATCACCTTTAACATCATCGGCGCGTTAATTGCACAGAGTATCGCTAACGAGCTGACAGTTAACGCGTGAAAATCGGCTATAAATAACTAAATAAATAGTATGAGGAAAGACTAGGGGGAGGCTATAGAAACACGGAGACGCCTAACTCGGTGGAACGGCACCGATGAACCGCCTTAAGAATGCGTTTTCGTGGCCGATCGCAGGGCCGATGCAACGAGCATCGCAGCGCATCTGTAGCGGCCCGTTTTGCGCTACTTGCGCGTCACGGAAAGTGCCTCTCGACTCTAGCATTAAGGACGCTGTTGTCTAAAGTTATCCAGGGAGTTGGGGAAACCAGTTCGACGCGGCTCGAAACGCGCGTTGAATCGACGGGTGTCCCGCGGAGAGGACGATAATGGGACGGGATTGCGGTCGCACGGATCTAGGAAGCCTGGACGTAATTAACAACACGAAATTACCGGGCCGCACTTAGTACGCGGCCGTGGAACGATTGTATCGTGGCGCGGTGGCCACGATCGATTACGTCGGCAAAAACCGTGCAAGATCGCTGAACGGTCGCTGAACGATCGGTGAACACGGCCTCCCGGTTCGCTGGGAGACGAGCTCGTCTCTCTCGCTCCCTCCCGAGCAGAAGCCGAGCCGCCGATAAACAAACCGACGAAAATATCCAAGCCGTGTAATTTTCGCAATCACGTGGCACCGGGATACGTCGCGTTCTTCTA